GGCAGCGCACACGTTATTTAGCGATAGGTAGCGAGTTGTCAAAGGACACTTCAACATATCACGATTAAAACAGAAAGTTTTAAGTACATAAGTTGAGATAACACAACAAATATTATTTTAGTTACCGAGTATAGGTGGACGTAACAAAATATCAATGTTCATTCACAATAACATGTGAATCGTTAATTTGACATGATGACGAGATGTCAACTAGTTACAAAAGTCAATTGCTCCGGAAATATATTTGTCGCTTTCAATTTTTTCATATAAATTCTAGGTGCGTAGGAAGTATTAAGCCAATAAAAAAACATGGAAGTCGACATATCAATGTGTTCACGACAGCCACGGATATCTTCTATTATACTTAATAATTCTAGATTAGTTTCAATATCCCTACTGGTATCCATTTCTCTTGACAGTCATAAATACTATAAACGGTTTAAGGATAAATATTTATGAGTTTATAACAAATTTATAATAACAAACAAAATTTATAATACAAATTTATATTCCTACTAAGGAAATAATCAGTTCGCAATGCAAATAGGTAATAATCATGTCATAATTATACATTTATGAGTAATATAATATCTCTGTTTGTTGTTTTATGAACTTGACACTATAAGAGTAGTAAGCTACATAATATGTAACCAACATTTTTGTGTTTAATTTCCGTTTTCCTAGTAAACAAGTTTATTGCAAGCTGTAAATTGCAAGCAAGATGTAATATTTAATGATCTATTAGGCGAAATAATTTATTTTAAACCTAGAAATCTATAAGACTAAATCGTCTCTAAATGTCTTATGGTAATTTTGTAATTTACGCTTTTTTTGTTTGTATTTCAAAACCTAGTTGATGTCCCTGTCCTGCACTGATTTCTCTAATTACAAGACACAAAATAAAAAATAATGACCCTGGCGTCTTCGAGGATCTGCAGTCACAGTTTCATTATTCATCCAAGGCCTGCTGTATCCCATGTTCTAGGTTCTTTACCCTATCCGATGTCAATACCCTGATTTACCTTCTCCCTTTGTCCAATCTGAAAACGTTTACATTCCAAAGAAGAGTTTGCGTCAGGCCATAAAAGCCATACTGGTGGTCGCCGGAGATCGCACGGCTGCGTCAAGCCTGCGTGACCGCGCGCCGCCAGTGGTCCAGGTTCCGCAGGAGGCGTCGCCGCCCCGAAGATGCGGCAGCGAGAGAGGCGGAGCTGTTAGCGGGTTACAGGGTTGCCAAGAGGACCCTTCAGGCAGCGATAAAGCGGGCCAAGAGCGAGGCCCGCCGCGAGATGCTGGAGACACTGGAGGGGGATCCGTGGGGACGCCCCTACCGTATGGTTAGGGGCAAGATGCGCCCATGGGCCCCGCCGCTCACACGGTGTCTTCAGCCAGAGCTGCTTGAGAGGGTCGTTGGCTCCCTGTTCCCAACGCGAGTGGTGGAGCATACTCCGCCACAGATGGCTCCGCCTTCGGCGCTTGAGGCGCCTAACGTGGATGACGACGACGTGCCTGAGGTCACTGGGGTGGAACTAAGGGTGGCGGTGTTACGGCTTAAAGCCAAAAACACCGCCCCGGGACCCGATGGCATTCCTGGCCGAGCGTGGGTCCTGGCCTTAGTCGACGAGGCTCTCGAGCCCCGACTGCGAGGGTTCTTCAGCGCATGCCTCGAGCGGGGCCAGTTTCCGAAATTGTGGAGGACGGGGAAACTGGTCCTCATCCGAAAGGAGGGGCGCCCGGCGGACTCACCGTCCGCCTACCGGCCCATAGTGTTGCTTGACGAGGTGTGCAAGCTCTTTGAAAGAGTGATTGCAAGGCGCCTCGTCAAGCATCTCGTGATGGTTGGGCCGGATCTGGCGGACAACCAGTACGGTTTCCGTCAGGGGCGCTCCACCGTGGATGCGATCATGCGCGTGAAGGCTCTGGCGGAGGAAGCAGTCTCCCGGGGCGAAGTGGTGTTGGCGGTGTCCTTGGACATCGCCAACGCGTTCAACACTATGCCCTGGAGCTGCATCAGGGAGGCGCTCGTGTATCACGAAGTGCCTCTCTAACTCCGCTGCATAGTCGGCATATTTGTCGGAGAGAGCCGTCGTCTACCCCAGGAGGAACCGGTCTCGGTAGGCGTGAAATGTCGTGCGGTGTTCCGCAGGGGTCGGTGTTAGGGCCACTCTTGTGGAACATCGGCTACGACTGGCTCTACGAGGTGGCTCTGCACAAGTCCGAGGCCCTGTTCTTCCACGGGCTTCGGAGGAAGCCGCCTGAGGGATCTAGCCTCACGGTAGGAGGCACTCGCATCGGCATCGAGCCCTCGATCAGGTATCTGGGGCTCGTACTCGATGGCCGATGGGACTTCGGATATCATTTCCGAGGTCTGGTCCCCAAGTTGGTTGGGGCAGCGCGTGCGTTGGCGCGGCTGCTACCCAACATGAAGGGACCCGATGACTCCTGCCGGAGACTACTCGGGGGTTGTGCGGTCCATGGCCCTTAACGGGTGCCCAGTATGGGCGGGGGCCCTAAAGGCCATCAACGTCGCGATACTGCGACGACCGCAGCGAATGCTGGCCATCAGGATCATAAGGGGGTACCGCACGATCTCCTTTGAGGCGGCGAGTCTCCTGGCCGGAACTCCACCGTGGGACCTGGAGGCGAGAGCCCTTGCGGCTCTGTATCAGTGGCGCAAGGAGGCGCAGGAGTTGGGTCGATGCCCCGAGATTCGAGAAATCGATGACCGGAAATCCCAACTCCGCCAGGTCATCATAGGGGAGTGGAGGGAACGACTCGGGCAACCGAGCGCCGGGCACGCCGTCATTGCGGCGGTAAGACCCGTTATGGAGGATTGGCTCGAGAGGCGTCACGGGACCCTCTCATACCGATTGACGCAGGTGATCACTGGGAAGGGATGTTTCGGAGATCACCTGTGTCTGATCCGCAAGGAGCCAACGCCTGAGTAACACCACTGCGATGGCCAGACCGTGGACACGGCTCTCCACACGCTGGCAGAGTGCCCGGCGTGGGTTGAGCAGAGGCGAGACCTCGTGGCGGCCATCGGAGTGGGAGTTCTCTCGCTCGATAGCCTGATTGCGGCTATCGTGCGGAGCGAGAGTGCGTGGAACTCTGCCGTCTCCTTCTGCGAGCAAGTTATGCTGCGAGCGAAGCGCGCTCGCTTCCAGGGAGCACAGGGAACATGGGGTTCCCACACGGGGGGGGGGGTCGTCTACTCGTCTGTAGATGACCCGAGGTATGTCGGGGCACCAGGGACTTCCTTTCTAGGGTATACCTGGTTCCCCGGCTATTAGTTCCCGGCGAAGGCGTGCGGTTTTAGTCGGTTCGAGTCCGACATACCACCGACAGGTGGTATCCGAGGGGATTTCCGCACCGAAAAAAAAAAAAAAAAAAAAAAAGGCCATAAAAGCCAATCCCTTTGCTAAGGGATTTGTCAGATTTCTCTTTTATCACGTCAACTCGATGATGATTTTAGTTGCTTTTTAGTGATCGATAATCAAAATATCGTAGCCGTCCAATGCCTGTTTTTTTCTAAAGGCTCATTGTATTACATTTATATTAATATTCATCATCATCAACAGCTTCAATAGTCCACTGCTGAACATAGACCTCTCCTTAAAAGGGAGGTTTTATCCTTTTTTTTCGTGACGGGCTGGAAAATCCCTTCGTATCTCCGGCTCGTTGGGGATACAATAACCAGGAGTATGTGGTGTTTATTAAAACCTCCCCGACGGCCACCCTCAGACGCCCAACTCTAAGGAGAGACCCGGGTCATATGATTTAATCCCCTACCACCTAGATCGACACCGCACACTATTAGGCCCTATTTCAGGAAAAGCCATCTACCTGTCTGTCAGCCTATCACTAGACGTTGCGGCCCGATAATGTTTTTAGTGCGATCAGGCCGCCATCCTATCCCCCTACCGCAAGTAATCTAACTACAATTCCTGGGGTTTTATTATCAAAGTATTATATTATCCCTCGTAAATTTTGCCCCCTATTTTTGACACACACTTTTCACCGGTCCTTTGTATATACCTTGATTTACACATGTAGGTATGATTTTAAAACCAAAAGTTTGAAATCATAAAAAAAAATTGTCATTTCTTAAGATTCTACTAATTCAATAGCCGTGACTATAATACTATTTGGCTCATGGCTATTGTTGTACTTATTATACATATTAAGTAATTAGATTAGAAAACTACGGTAATTTTTCCATAAATATACCTGCAATGATAGTAGCAACTGACGATAACAATAATTAATTTCTGCGTCTAATGTAAACAACATAAATAATAATTTGAACGTATGCCATGCTCTTGGAATTGAAGAGAAGCCCTTCTGCTAACTAATTAAGTGATGTGCATTTTTTAATTTAATAGGGTGGGTAGGTTATCGATTTCTTTAAAATTCGGAGAGCCCTTGATCACCAGACCTTCGCCATTTTATAACATTTGCTTATTTGCTGTATTGAGGATAGGATGTACTATGATACATGAAAGGATAATTTCACGAGTAGGGATTTTTAATCATTGTGAATAATAAATAACAATAGGTAAATATTAACGCCATTAAGTTTCAAACTAAGCAGAGCTTGTACTATGAAAGTAAGATTGACTGAATGGTGATTAGGATGTACTAGACATCGTCTGGCGGTCGAATTTCTTTTTTGAATGTCTTGTTTTATTTCAGTGACCAGTACAACTTGAACTAACGTTGCATAGAATTTGTACCATGAATAGTCATAGTATGATTTCAAACCTTTTACACATGTTGTTTAAAATTTTTAGCTTTCTGCACATCTTATATTCAAAAACGTTGAGCATTTAAAATATGATATACTTCTGTGCGGCATACTTGTTTCTTTAACTCCCGCACTATAATATGTCCTATGTCGCGGGGACTTAACAAACATACATGAATCGTACACAAAGAACATCCTGACTTAGAACAAAAATTTGTGCCTACGCCATACGTGAAGTCGGAAGTGTTTAAAAATGGGTACAAAAAATTTTCTTCACGAATTAATAGTAACATCCGTGTGGTGACGAATTAAGAATACGAAGCGACACCACCCCTATTCATCCCATGGGTGTCGTAAGAGCCGACTAAGGGATCAAACTACGAAGGACAACAGCACTGCAAAGAGAAGGAAAACTTGACACAAACTCACCAACCCGTCTGGTCAGCATGGTATAGTAAACCAAAACCGCCTTTCTAAGGAGAGGTATATGTCCAGCAGTGAACTATTAAAGGCTGTTGATGTGTGATGTGATGATGTGTTGTTAAGATGTGATGAAAATATTTTAAACGCCGGTAATAGAAATTATTAAACAAATTCAGTATTAAAAATAATTTTAAATTAACTTATTTTCGATCATCATTGATTAACCGTTTATCGAAATGTTAAAAAGAAGCTATATAAATGAATTGAGATAAAATATCTAGCAGGATACTAATATTTATTTACTTTAATCTACAAAAATATACAAACTCGATTTCCCATTTTATTTAAAATTATCTAAATCGTTCTAGCGAACATTATATAAACATAGCCCATGATTTTCTTCTAAAAGAGATACTTAATCTGTCATCTACGATGTATTCTGACAATTTATACAATTTTTCTGTAATTTGCTAGATATTGAAACACATTTGGGTCCTATCCAACTTGATTATATAATTTAACTTTTTATTGAGTTTTTGTACCACTTACGTAATATTTTTTTTATTTGAATATGTAATATCATAAAAACATTTATTGTTATTAATATAGCTTTTGAATCAAATTAAATCAAACCTTATTAGCACTAAATGTTGGTACATAAAGGTGGAGTAGTTGTAAAGTAGTTGTAAATAGCTGTGTATATTATACCTTAAACTATAATCCAATGTTTATAAAATTAGCTTTTAAGAAGACTGTGAAAGATTCAATTCGGTTTAGTATAAGGATTTTAATTAGATTTAGGTATAAATTAAGACTAGGTTGTATTATTTAAAAAGTACTATAATAATTGGTATACTCCTGTGTCCGTGGTTACGGTCGAGCTTATTCGACTAAAAGGAAAGTTTAGAATCAGTGTCAAACCGGATCCTTGGTTACAAAGGTAACAGTGAAACAGAGATTTCCGGTTCATATAATATAATTAGCTTTGCATCACGTTACAAAGATAGCGAAATTCTGGCGTGACCGCAGTTCCTGGAGAAAATTATGTCAACTTTCAATTAACAACGCCTTTATGATTTGACCAAAATACTTTATAAATTTTTCTACTTCAAAATAATTAATAAGTACGATTTGGTTTGAAGCGAAAAATTTAGCTTTTTGACATCTACGATTTTTTTGTCTGAAAACTAAAACTTGGAATCGTCACTTAACCGGGCCAATCGCTGACCAAAACTACATGGAGTTACGTCATCACAACTTTTTCTGGGTTCATAGGTGTTTTCTGTTTTTATATATATTTAGGAGGGGGCAAAGGGCAGGTCACCTGGGCCTCAATTCTGCTATTTTATGTTCACGCCAAGCTACTGTCATACCACTGACACGCTATTGAGATGCCATCGAGTGGCCATTAGCATCGGTATAAATATCGGTAGTCTACACTAACTCAGTGTCTTTACAGTGGCGATGGAATGGCAGTGGCTCATCAGTGGTGATATCCAAAAGATTGCCATATTTAGAAAATTAAATAAATAATTTCCTTGTAATTTGAAAATATATTACGTTTTTTTGAGGAAATGATTTATTAATTTTTCCATATATGGCAATCTTTTGGCACCCCATGAACGCCTGCAACTCAGGAGTCACAAGCGCGTTGCCGACCCTTGAGGTAGGAGTACACTCTTGGTGTACCCTTAAAAGGAAATCCCTGTGAATCTATAATATAAACTTCAGAAATAAAATATTTTTACTATTGCAGCTTGCAACAGACACACTTATGAATTATATTATACGGAATAGTATGTGGTTGAGGTGATAAGCCGCGGGGGTTTCTCCACAATAAAGAGAAGCCCTGAGAGATGCATAACATATTCCTTCCTTTTCAGTAATTTAACTACCTAGTTTCTAGGTTTTTTTTTATATCTATCTTTATGTAGGTGCTATTCTTCTTGTAAGGATTTGTTACGAAATATTAACATCAGACTTTTGTTGCAGTGTTGGGCATCAAACGTCTCAAACAAATCGAGACATTGTTCCTGTCGCGTCGTCTACAAGGACCTCGCACTCATGGACTCAGTGTGGAGACGCTGGTGGATATGCTCTTGGTGTTGTATGACGAGTGCTGCAATAGCAGTCTCAGAAGAGAAAAGGCTGTAGCTGATTTTATACAATACGGTAGGTATACAGTTATTTTCTGATAGGTAAGGTAGCTGCTAAATTTTGAAGTCTGTTGGTCTAGTAATCCTGACCGTTGAACTAAAGGTTGTGGATTCAATTTCCACTTGAAAAAATTCAGTCTATGTTTATAGCATAAGATCAGGTGACCGTATGTGAGCTGTGGTTATATTATGAATGATCATAAGAAACTCTTTAAAAGGATTTCAAAATGCATACTACGAGTACAAAAAACTTTTTTAAATCGACAAAATTCTATAAAATGGGCATTATGTTCTAATAAAAAAATACAACAAGACATTCGTGAAAAATCTAACCTATTGAGATTTAATTGAAAACTAAACTGAAAATTATTGTAGCTACATAAAAGTAATAAACAGTAAATAAAGAATTATTTTGTCAACAGTTAAACCAGTAGCAACAGCCCTAAAGCGCCTTCGTCTGGCTCGCGATGATTTCGAACTGGTCAAGGTCATTGGACGAGGAGCCTTCGGAGAAGTCTGCGTCGTTAGAGCCTCCTTTATGCAGGTAAGACTCCCTATTCCAGCTTGAATTATACCAACAACGGGAGCAACCTTGTAAGGGAATCAGAAATTAATACAATTAACCAAATTTAGAACTGCCACAATCCTGAAGATCAGATCTGCTATATAAAGTTCTATGACAAGAAACCTTTTTACAATTTCTGACAAAATGTTATACATGTCCTCACGCTCGACAAAGCAATGCAGGGAAAGCAGAAACAATGGTAGTCTATATGCCATGTTCCTGACAAACAGCTGTCACCAGACACACACATTCATCAGACCTTTCTCACATGCTCGCCGGTTAAAAGTGTCATTTGGTAGGGTCTTTTTAGTTAGTATGTTATAAGAAAACATATTCACCCTCACGATATACCTGTATCGTTCGTCAAGTCCCGACAGTCACGAAGGTCACTAGTCTGTCCTTTGTTACAGTTGATTATGTGATAGAAGAGCAAAAATTTGTACAATTTTTGCTCTTTTTTTAATTATAGCTAAGTTTGAGTTATTTAAGGATTCATTCTCCTCGACGGTAGAGATCCTTAATCCGGCGGCTTCAAATTAATAAAGATTAACTTTTCGCGCCCCCAGGGTATTGATACTGTACGATTCCAAAATACTTTTCTTGCCATTTCCTTAGACTTTATAAAATTAAAACCCTTATTGTTTAGTTGTTTTGGTTTTCTTCAGTCTATAGATCTTCACTGATAGTAGTACTACGTGCACATAATATATTTTTTATTCGTCTGCTCCGCAAATTGTGAAAGGTTGAGTGAAAATTTAATTATAGTTTTTGAGTGAAAATTTAATGACGTCCAAAGCTTTATAATTGATAGAATATGAAGTGTCAGTAGGCGGAAATCAATAACTACGGGTATACACAACGATTGTGGCGCCGCACGGTTCTTGTCCCTACTTGTGTTGCCAACCTATTCAGTTTTACACAACATATTAGGGTTATTTAACGTCTATACGTAGATACGATAGTCCTATTTAGAATCCATGTGTCACTAAATTTTGCGAAAAAAAAACGCGCTGTGAAATATTGCTGTGCGGTAGGGCCCTTACTCATTAGAAACCAGCTATAGTATAAAACCTGCAGGTTTAAATTCGTTCTATACATATAAGTAATGTTCATTAGAAAACAAATTTACGAGTAAAGTAGTCAAAGGTCATCAACCGTGCCTGGCCATTATATGACCTAAAATGTTTCAATTGTATCGTGACGATACAAAACCTGGTTACGTAAGATTATTTGTCGTCGTAGGGTAAAGTTAAATTCGGACATGGCAACACTGTCTACCTATTCGCTTAGTTACGATACGGACGTATCCTTTCTTGATAACCGACCGACCGAGCTGACGTCTCCGGTACAAAATGGGGTGCAGTCATATTAAGGGTAAGTTTGCAAATCTTATTATAATTTATTATTATCTTATTCGTATTATTTCCTAGCGACCCTCACCGGTTTCTCACGGGTGCAATGTATGGCGTCACATTACAAATCTTTGGAATTCTCAGAGGTTTTCTTCTATAATATGCATATACAAATTTCCAGCCCTATTTTATAACAACCCTATTTAATCACTTATTATTATATCACTTATACGTTTTTGAAAAGTAAAAAATAGGTGTTTAACTATTATAATTTTCGATAAAGAATATAATTATACTGACAGTTCGGAATCGGTAAGTAAAAAAAAAAGATCCCCATACAAAATTGCACCCCTTTTTAAATATAATAATAATAACAACGCTTTTTATTACTTTTAATAAAGAGTATTTACAGTTAGTTTGGAAACGCTGCTCTACTAAAAATAAAGAAGTTTTATATACATATTTATAACCCCCTTATTGCACCTTTAGGGGTGGAATTTTTTAATTTCTCTCTTAGTGCACACCTACGTCATCCAAAATTTCATGCTTAAAGCTAGACCCAGCGGTATCAGCTGTGCGTTGATCGATCAGTCTCTTAGTTTCTTCTTTTAAATGTAGATACAGATTATCTTATTACAACCATCGCTGCGAACAAAGAAAATATCCTTATTTCTTTGCTTTGCCATATATATTTCATCATCAACAACCTTTAATAGTCCACTGCTGGACATAGGCCTCTCCTTAGGAAGGAGGTTTTGGCCTACTATACCACGCTGGCCAGACGGGTAGGTATAGGGTTTGTTTCAAGTTTTCCTTCTCTCTGCAGTGCTGTTGTCCTGCGTATTTTGCTCTCTTAGTCGCCTCTTACGACCCCACGGGATGAATAGGGGCGGTGACACTCTGTATTCTTAATTCGTCACCACACGGACACTTTATTTATTTATTTCATACTTTATACACTAATGAAATTGCACAATGGCGGACTTTATAGGCGTTATAAATATGTAGCTATAGTATTTATTTATATTTTCATGAGATTTCTTATTAATAAGCTTTAACATATCTATTATAGGGGTGATTATGTAAGTCATTTTGTAAGTACTTCATTACCAGACTGAAGTACATAAAATACGTAGATAACAAAGACTCGTCTTTTTTTTTTGGTGACGGGTTAGAAAACCCCTTCGGATCTCCGGCTTCTAGGAGACACAGGAGCCAGAGTATGTAGGGTTTCCTCTAAAAACAACTCTGTCGGCCGGCTTCTGGAAAGAACCCGGACCATGTGATTTCAGGTCCCCAAAGATCCAGGTTTTAGAAAAAATCTCCTTTAATTAGTTTGCGGTGGGTTCGTAGTTATTTTTTACGATGATATTGTGTCCGTATGAAAAAAAATGAAATACCACCTGTAACCGTTTACTATAGAGGTAAAAATGTAAAATGTCTTCTGTAGAGATAAAACTTTGTCAGCTTAGATTTCAAATTCTAAATTTTAATATGGTTTTTACTTAAATTAAGAAGACCGCCATTTTTTACCTAGATTTCTTCGTCCTTATTTAACTTTCTCCATAGATATAAGGCGCATGTGCCAGGGCGTGGGGGTAGTTGGGATGGGGCAGTAGGTCGTAAATCGATAACTTAAACACCAACTGCGCCTGTGTAATATATTCTCAGACGGACGAACAACCCAGTTTTCAGCGTTCAGTTCACTTCAAGACACAGTTTGTGACAGTAATTGTTTTAGGGTGTATTACTTTTTCAAATGGCGCTTTTGACGTTTTTCATTGGTACGTATTAATTATGTAATTTGTTTTTATTAATCAACATTTTCTACATATGATACTCACACCTTGCGTTAGTATTGTGGCATAGTGGCAAACCATTAATGTATGTTTCATTTCTCTTAATTTTTCTGCCTACTGACAGCGGGAGATCTCTTCCAAGCAATTGGAAGAGATTGCTCTAAGTGACTGGGTCGTAGGCAACTGGGCAGTAAGGCTGATAATTATACAACAAAAAGTTGCTCAGAAACGCTCTGTATTTGGTTTAGTAATTTTTACTATAAAGTTTAGCGTCTTATATATATGTTTTCTAAGGGCCTATAAAAATCTCTGTTTGGTACCTTTATTGAAGAATGATATCGTTAGATTGGTCTTTATTCAGAGAGTGACACACACACACATAAAAAGAAAAAAAATCTTTGGTTTGTAAATTTTAAGTATACAATTTCACGCAGCCGTGTTATTGTTTTTTTTTTCAATAATTAGCTTGTAAAATTAACCCTTCCCAATTGTTTAAATTACTCATGCGAGCTTCAACCCTTCATTACGGAAGCTACATTTCAACTAAATTACGCCTTACTTTTTACCGTGGGAGAGCCATGCTTCGGCACGAATGGGCCGGCTCCACCGGAGTGATACCACGACCTCACGGAAAACCTGTGTTAAGCAATTCTTTCGTTACCTTTTACTTGTTGAGTGAGCTTACCGGAGCCTAAATCCCCCCCTCCCGCTGACTCGAGCGAGAGGGACTCCAAGGGCGGCAACGCACTTGTGACTTTTGAGTTGCAGGTGTGCAAGGTGTCAAAAAAAAAATTGCCATTAAAAATGCCACCTAAAACCTTTTACTATAGAAGTAAAATGTCTTCTGTAGTGGTTAATATCTTTCTCAGCTTAGATTTAAAATTCTGAATTTCAAGATGGCTCCGATACTTCTTTAAGTTAGCTGCCATCTTTTATCTAGGTCTCTTCGCCCTACTTTTCATCGCTCCATAGATATACGGCGCATGTACCTGGGGTTAGTTGGGATGGGGCAACAGGTTGTAAATCAATAACTTAAACATCAATTGCGCCTGTGTAATATATTCCCAGACGAACGAACCACCCAGTTTTCAGCGTTCAGTTCACTTCGAGGCACAGTTCGTGACAGTCCTTATTATAGAGTCTAGTATTACTGTTTGAAATGGGGCTTTTGATCTTTTCAATTGGTACGTATTAAAATGTTTGTAAAAGGAATGACGTCACCGGTCGCCTTAACAATTTATTGTAACCTAGTACAGGACTCAGTGAAAATTAATTTACTTCGATCTAGAAATTGTGTTTTTTTTTTAATAATAGAATTTTACTAAATTTCTTGTAGTTTTATTTTTAGAAATTTTGGTGCAATTTATAATTAAAAACAAGAGGTGTCCTTCAAAATTCGCTATTATTTAATTTCATCCTTTGTCATTACGGTTGCAAGGATTTCAAAAGATTATTTATTATTGGCTATTTATTTGAAGATATCCGTTGCTTTTTTCAAATATTCGTAAGCTGTGGTAGTTCCTTATAATCAGGAGAGACGTCACGATTCCTATGGAGTTCGAGCTTTATATTTAGTGTAGGAATATTACATTAATCTTCCTTGGCCAGGTTTGCTCGATACTCAAAATAGACCGGCCGTGCTCGTTTATCAAATTATTTCATAAGATAATAACTTATCTTCTTAACCGAAATCCTTATGGATCCTTATGAAGTACCAACATTCTTTTATAAGAGATTTTACTCATGATAATGAGTAAAATCTCTTATGAAAAAAAAATCAATTGTGATGAGAACCCCCTTTTTCTTTATTGAAATACCCTAACAGGGTGGGCATCCTTCCTTAATCCAATCCTCGGTAACGCTCTGGTAGCCTGCCTGTTATCCTATGTGCTTTTTAAAGCTCACGAGTTACTCTAACATGGCCGCCGCTTACGCAACAATCGCGCAGCAATCGATCCGTCGACGCCCTGGGCTTCAAGAATACTTCCGACTTATTTATAGGAGGCCTGGCAATTTCGCGCAACTCTGGATCGTTAATAATGACAAAGAATTGTTGTAACATATATTTTATTCACGGAATTAATCATGGCGTCACCTTGAGATAATACAGGATACTTAATTATGAGTACTTATTTTTTTCATTATTATTGATAAATGAATAACTGAACTTTATTCCGTCATCGATTACGTCTATTTTTTTAAGATCAGTCATGATGGGGCACTTGCCTAGCCTTACCCGACCCCCCTCCCCCTCCCCCTTCATCTACGCCATTGTATATTGCTGCTTCTGCGTACTGAATATTAGATATAAATAAATTATATCCGTCTTTGTCTAGGGTGGCGATGTCGGAGCAAATATGGTGGCAGCGAGCGCTGGATCCGTGGCGACAACTACCGGGGAAAGAGTCTACGCTATGAAGATACTTAACAAATGGGAGATGCTCAAGGTAAGTAATAAGAAAACCTGACTCTTCGTTTGCCCCATAAAAAAAAAAACAATAACAATATTGCGACTAGCAACTTTGATATTTTATTCCAATGAAATTCAAAGAAATCTCTTATTAATTTAAGATTCAGTTCTACTCACACGTGTAGGTACACCTGTAGGTGTTTGGATATCAGACTTGTTTCCATGCGGACAGGTCGCTTCACCCCTTGATACAAAACCTAAATTATACATACACCATAGATTTGGGTTAGACTTTTAGGAGAGCCATACTTTGGAACGAATGAGCCTGCTCAACTGGAATGTCGTGGAGAGCCGTCTCCAATAGAAAGCTACATTATCAAAGAGTAACATAGCCTACTTTTTGCCGATAACCGACATACACGCAGACGGAACCGCGTTCTAAAGCTAATCTATTATAAGTATATTCTTTCCACAGCGCGCAGAGACGGCATGTTTTCAAGAGGAGCGCGACGTTCTCGTCTTTGGAGATAGGAGGTGGATCACAAACTTACACTACGCCTTCCAGGATGAACACAATTTAGTACGTTGATTGGTTTTATACTTTTTGATTATTGTGGAAAACAATTAATGTTAAGAGCTTTTGGCATGTCTGAATTTTTAAAAGATTTGATTAATTGTGGGAGAGTAAATGCTTTTACACATCTGTCTCGGGCGGTGTGATCCAAAGAGCTCGTTGAAAACTGTTACTACGCAATTCATTCTTTGTTTTCTTCCCAGTTAGTGAGATCATCGGCAGACTCAAGTCTCTCCTACCTTCTAATTTAGGTGGGCGGACCTGAAAGGTGGTAACGCACTTGTATCTCTTGAGTAGCAGCTGTCACTTACCGCCAGGTTCACTGTACGCTCGTTTGCCTCTTCCTCAAAAAAAAATCCAGTAGCACGTCGGTAGTGCCGACAGAAGTGAAAACTTGAAAAAAATGTTTTTTAATGTCGATTCGAAAAATCCGACTTGAATATGTATCTATGTTATACGTATATGCACAATATATGTTTATATTATATATAAAGATGATATATTATCAATGTATTTCAACCCAAACTCAACTCTCGTGTCAACGGGGCCAATATATGTGGATACTTATATACAGAGGTCGCGAGTTCAATGGTTTTTTTTCCATCTCAAAAAAAGTGTTTTTTGTTAAACAATAAAATACATTATTTTGTTTGTTGTTCAAAAATGCCCAACCCGCCTAAGAAGTTGTCACTTCAAAATGGCAAGATGGCAATACTAAAATAAATGAAATAGCTGAAAACATCATTACACTTTTGACTTATAAAAAATTCTTAATGGAAACCTACGGGCAAAGTAATAATGATATTTTTTTATTTTCCCAGGAGTTCTAAAATCTTTTAGAAAATTGAAAATGAAGCTAAAAGGTTTTCTACTTGATGTCTACAAAACTATACTTTACAAAATTTTTTTCAGTATCTGGTAATGGATTACTACTGCGGTGGTGATCTGTTAACGCTCCTATCGAAGTTTGAAGATCGTCTACCTGAAGATATGGCAAAATTCTACATAGCCGAGATGGTGTTAGCTATACAGAGCGTCCACGAGCTTAGATACGTACACCGGTAAGTAATTATAAAAATTTAATAATAAACGAAATAAATGCAAAAATAATAATAGGTAATAATAATAAATACCGAGCCTACAGTAGTCGTGTACGTGTAACATAGGATATCTCATCTACCATCTGACGGCCAAGTCTAGCCGTCTGCGCGGTTATTAGTCAAATCGAATAGTGCGCTTTCATGACTTCAGAAAGTCTTGGAAGCGCTCAGACTTTCTATTTCACTAAAGGGCTCTCACAGTGTGCAGGAATAGCGACATGAAAAATGAGCGACTCCAAAAAATGCAAATTTAAAAAAAAATGTAGAAGAATATTTTTCTTCAATGGATTTATAGACAATACCAAACTAAAGTTTACACAATGTTTGACTGACTGACAGAATAACTGACAGACTTGTCGTCGCTCTCTGTGCCCTCAGATTCTTGAGTACTTATATTAAAAACAAATGTCGTTGTTAACAGAGACATAAAGCCAGACAACGTATTATTAGACGCAAGTGGACACATCAGACTTGCTGACTTCGGATCTTGTTTGCGGCTTGGAGACGACGGAAAGGTACGTTCAATAGCTAGTAGCTCATCAACAGCCTTTACTAGTCCACTGCTGGAGATATGCGTCTCCTTAGAAAGGAGGTTTGGGCCTTTTATACCACGCTGCTATAGTTGCTAGGGTTGCTATAGTTTGTGTTTCAAGTTTTCCTTCTCTTTGCAGTGCTGTTGTCCTGCGTAGTTTACTTCATTAGTCGGTTCTTACGTCACGCAATTGATTAATAGGGGTGGTGACACTCTGTATTCTTAATCCGTCACCACATGGACTGAAATCCCCTCGGATACTACTTACCGGTGGCAATGCACTGACTAAAACCGCGCGCCGTCTCAGGTACCAGTAGTTGGGGAACCAGGTGTATCCTAGAAAGGAAATCCCTGGTGCCCCGACGTACCTTGGGCCATATACGGCGAGTAGACGACCCCCCCTGTGTGGGAACCCCCATGCTCCCTCTGTGCTCTCGAAAGGGCGTGCGCGCTTCGCAACGCGCTCGCAGCCACCCCGGCCTGCTTCTGCTAGGGTGTCACTAGTAGTCAAGTTATTAAATTGCCTTTTCATTTAAAACATATTATATCAACATTATATTTTTAATGTGTTTTAATCTTCAAACATATCTTTCAACATAAAAAGAAAATTATTTGACTGAATGACGTCGGAGTTGTTATATATAGAGAATACCGTTTTGTAATTTATTAATGAGAATGTAGTTTGTTCGATTCCTATATGAGACAAAAATTATGTGATCAACAAATAGCGATTCCAAGTCTTGGTATTCTTTATTTAAATACATCAGTTATATTTAAAAAAATGCTCATAAAAAAAGGTAAAAATTAGCACTGTATTTTCTCACCCTTTTTACTACTACCGAGATATGGTGATATACTTTTACTGACCTCTTTTCATTCTCTAAAAGCTTCACAATAGTCCGCACCAGAGAGTCAGGGCATATATATATTTTTTATTAATTTCAGGTACAAAGTAACGTTGCTGTGGGTACACCAGATTACATATCTCCAGAGATATTACGGGTAAGTAAAAATAAGTTTTATTTCTTTGAACTTAAATTGATTTTAGAAAGTTCACTTTCGGTTTTCTTTTTATATACAGGCGATGGAAGACGGACAAGGAAGATACGGACCTGAATGCGACTGGTGGTCTTTAGGTAAGGTTCAAACATTATTTACTTAAATACTAGAAAATATATAAAATAAACTAGCAAGTTTTACACTCGTAAATCATGTGGAACATCTGACATCTCACCTACCATCTGAAGGCCAATTCTGTCACCGAGCGCCTTTATTGGTCAAATCGAAAAGCGCTGGTTAATACGACTTCCGGTTACACTATTCCGTCCCTTTACGAAATCACACACAGATTAAAAATACACATAAGCAAGCCTGGTTTAGCTTCACTTGAGCGGCTGCTTAGTGGCTGCGTACTCGCTCACTCTAATAAAATGATATATTATACTTTTTTAAGGTGTATGCATGTACGAGATGTTATTCGGCGAAACACCGTTCTACGCCGAGTCTTTGGTCGAAACGTACGGCAAGATCATGAACCACGCGCGATCCTTCCATTGTCCACCGCCAGACGAACATGCAGCACAGGTAATCTAAAAGATAAATATCTGATATCATGGTGTTTGTGGTCGCGATCAACCAATTTTAATGTTTTTTTTTTTGTAAATTAAGTAGGTATTAGTACGTATAGGTCGTAAAGTAATTTTCACCTACCCTCACCTCCAATTTTTTAATCGCGATTTGATTTCTTTGATAATTTAAATTACAATGTTTGCCGGGTCAGCTAGTATTGTTATGGCATTGTTGCTTTGATCGCGTAAAAGTTTTTCTTTCAGTCAGGGGACTAGTATTTCGGTTTTATGATCATGATGATCGCATGAACGGTGCTTGTAGTAGCGTATAAAAAAACGAACAAATATACCTTGATATTTATATATTAAACTAGCTTTTACCCGCAGTTTCACTTGAATTAATGTCAATTTTGTCAATCAATTTTTATTACAGACAGCTATCTCAATGTCAAATTTATTTCAATTTCGTTCGGCCGTTTAGCGTGATTGAGGTACAAACATTCATACGTTCATTCTCACAAACTTTTGGGATTATGATATTATTGGGATATATTTAATTTTGAATAATTTTAAGTTTTAGTGAAATTGATTATCTTCTAATTTTTTTTAATATTTTTAACAGGTTTCAGAAGAGGCGAAAGATCTTATCCGCAGGCTTATATGTGCGTCAGAAAATAGGTTAGGCAGAAGTGGATTACAGGATTTTAAGGTAATTTTTTTATATACGTATAGAGCAAAAAAAATAATATATTGAGAAGTAATAAATAAAATTAATATTAAAGTAAAAAACTACTAATTTTTCAGAATCACTCATGGTTTGCTGGACTTGATTGGGACAATCTGCGGGAGATGCAAGCACCATTTGTTCCTGATGTTTCCAGTCCCACCGATACCTCTAATTTCGATGTCGACGACACAGACATCAGGTATTTTATAACAATATATGCATAATACACATGCTTCTAATCTTAGGACTGTTTCTCTGGAAATTGTAAAAAAAAAATTGTACCATCATGATGCTCTCGAAGACCCAGCTTTTAGAGTTGGAAGTAGTCTGTCCTGATTTGAATTGACTTCTAAATTAATAACATATTTTAGGATATTCTGTTTTATACAGTCATCATCATCAAATTCATTCCCTTCAATTTCTTTGTCTTATTTTTAACTACATAGTTTGTCATCACCTTTTTCTGCACACAGACTGTCAGAAGCCGTCCCCCCACCTTCAGCATCATCAGCATTCTCTGGTCTACATCTACCATTCATTGGATTCACTTTCACAGCGGGGTCTAGACTTTCGGATCTGGGTGCCCCCACCAGCCCGCTTAGTCCAGCCAAGAATGCACCTAGTCAGGTAATAAATAGTACTTATTTTGTAAAAGTAAGTAGTCAATGCTGTCACTTAAGTGTTTCATATTCTTTAAATTACTAATAAAAAGAGATGAATTTAATAAATAAAAAAATATCTAATTCAAGTACTTTTTGTTTATATTGTCAACATGGCAGCATGATCCCGGTTTAGGTAGACCCTAAGATTGACTGCAATACTGAAACATACATTCCTGTAAAAAGTACCTCGAAGTTCGAATTACAATTCTGAGGTTATTTGTAAAATAAAGAGTCTAATTATTTAAGACATATGAGTAGGTAGTATGTTGATTGCGATGTGTCGTGCAGGCGCCGTCGAACGTGGGCGTGGGCACGGCGGTGAAGGCGCTGGAGCGTGAGAACGCGCTGCTCGCGCAGACCATCGCCGATCTACGCGCTGGCGGCGCCGGCCTTGACCTGCGCACCGGTACGCACTCATATACACTCGCCCGCACACACACACACACATTCACTCACCCTCGCACGCGCGCGCACACACACAAACACACATGCACTCACCCACTCACACCCACACACACACACACACTCATCCACACACACACCCACACATACACCCACAATCAGTCACCCAAAAAACCACATACAACCACATAACCCCTAAAAAAAATTGAAAAACTTCCCTGCAAATTCGTCGAATAAATTCGTAATAACTATTTAAACTGCATTGTGATAGTGGATTCTTACTACGAGTATCTACTCCAGCTTTATTGTAAGCATAATTTATTGTAACTTTATCTTACAGAGGAATTAATTCAACTGAAAGAAGAATTGTCAACAATTTCAAAAAGAAACGCGGAACTAGAAGCTCAAGTTAGATGTTACGATCAACTAAATAGTGGCGTTAATACACAGGTTCGTTATGTTATTATATACATTCAATAATTTCGCTGTTTCCCCCTAAATATATTAACGCAAATTATGCATTGTAAATTATTAACTAATTCTGCATTACAATTTCACATCATTACGTCACATCAACAGCTTTTAATAGTCCACTGCTGGACATAGGCCTCTCCTTAGAAAGGAGGTTTTGGCATTATAATTTACCAAGTGTAATTCGACTTAAAACAACAACTTATTCATTTATTTAACTTATTCTAGTTACGCTTATGACCAGTCATACATAGTCTTACAATTCATTTTATATACTCGGGTATATAAAATGACCTAGTGTAAGTTTATTTCACATATAGTCGTTTGTTACGGTGAACACGTTCGGCGTTTCCATTGGCACTAAAATCTTCACCAATCGAATCTTCACCAGAGCGAGTTAAACTCACATGATTTCTACTATTCGTTTTGAATAGACGAATAATGAATAAATATCTTGTAGGAAATGCCAACGACACAACAGGAGATGGTGGCTCGTATTCGCGAGCTGGAGGTACTCGTTCAATCACTGAACCTCGAGAAGGAGGAAATAGTTAAAGACAGAGCTGACACTGTGGAAAAATTGAGGCTACAGGTAATTAGATATATAATACTGTTTTTTAAGTAGCCAGCAAGCATACAACCTAGATAGTACTGCACGGATGGCGTCATCGCGGTCGGTTATCTTGCTGCTATTGTGCTGAGTGTTTGGGTTCGATCCCTACATGGGACATGGGACTTTGTGTGATTCACAAGTCGTTGTTCCGAGTCTTGGTGTTAATTGTGTTCTATTTATTGTTTGTAAACTTTTCCGCGACACGGGATATATTTAGTTAATGCGGGCGTTGTCTTTTTAACAAAAAACCAAAAAACCACGAACCTTTGACAATGCGCGTCAATCGTTCCTACTTCAGAGCGGTCATTTAGAACAAATTAATTATATATATAAATATTTATTTTTACCAGGATAAAGAACTTAAGGACGCGTTAGCACAACGCAAGTTTGCAATGGCGGAATACAATGAAGTCACTGAACGGTTATCTGAACTCAGACAACAGAAGCAGAAATTATCGCGACAGGTACGTGTTTCGAAGATAGATAATGAAATAGACTGTGTTTTGTAGAAACGTTCCAACTCACAAATTCACTGAAATTGAAGTAAAATGGCAAATTTTTGTTTAGTAAAGGTCTTTCGTATTCCGGCTACTTTCGTATTTTTACTTACTACCTATTACTTTTTACCTACTTTCGTCTTATAATCTGTATGAATGTATAGTATACTAAATGGTACATAGTTAATTTTTAAATTTATCATGTCAGTATTTAATATTAGATGTAATGTCTAAAATCATTGTCATATTTTAGGTTCGTGACAAAGAAGAAGAGTTAGAAGTGGCGATGCAGAAGATAGACGCATTACGGCAGGACATCCGACGGGCGGAGAAGGGACGGCGGGAATTGGAGGCGAGATTGGACACCGCTATATCTGAAGCCACTAAGGTAATTTAAATGTTCTTTATGAAGGGTTATAATAACAATAAAAATGTGGTATAACGTTTTTTCTAGGATATTTAATAGGTTAGCTTTCTAATTTGATTCTTTATTATTTATACTGTTGAATTAGTTGAAAAAATTACCTAAAGAAAACATTAATAGGGGGCATTTAGTCTGCGAGGGCACATTTTGTGTGACGTAAAATACGTAGTGATAATAAGGAAGATTTTTTTAAATGATTGATATTGCAAATACGCTATGCCCTTTTACATTTCAGAAAAATTAAAAAGTAAAACTGAGACGAGTCGTAGTCCTAAGTTAAAGTATGTATGTGTAAGTGTGTATGATCCCCCCAGGAGAGGAAGCTGCGCGAGGACAGCGTGCGCGCGTCGCGCGGCGAGGGGGGCGCGCCGCCCGGCGCCGCCGCCGACGTGGCGCGCCTGCAGGCTGAGGTCGACGCGCTCGAGGTACCGCACACTCTCTTTGTTAAGCAGATGGCTTATGGGGGGGGGGGAAGGAAATTGTTCTGTGAATCTTAGTTGCAGATGTCACGGCGACGATAGTCGCTTACCATCAGGTGACCCATCTGCTCCTTTACCCCCTCATCATCATCATCATCATCTGCCTGACCTTATCCCAATTTTATTTGTTGTTTAATATTTATTCACACAATAAATGATCACTGATCAATCAATAATAATAATTTATTACTTCCAGTTGCAGTACAAAGAATCTCTGGCCCAACAGCAAGCTCGTTTCACAGCGGAACTGGCCGCACTCAATGACCAACTGCAAGAGGGTGACGCCATGCGAAATGTACTCAACAGAGAGGTGTGTACACACAACCTTAACTCCTTTATATTGCTAAACATACTCTTAACCTTAACATGCTCTTACTGGTTAATGGTGGTAAAATGACATCTGTGTGGTAACGAATTAAGAATACGGAGTGCCACCACCTCTATTTATTCCGTCAGTGTTGTAAGAGCCGACTAAGAGAGCAAACTGCAGAATAACAGCACTGCTAAAAAGAAAGGAAAACTCACCAACCCGCAACCACCGTGGAACCGCAGAATGTTAAAAGGCGTTGATGATGAGTGGTGGTAAGAATTACATTTAATAGACAACATACGTTAACCTAAGAACTATAAATAAACATATAAAGCTTAATTGAGTCCTCGCCCACGGTGTACAGCGGCGCGGAAGTAGGACGAGAAAGGGGAACGATACAGTGCGGGCGAAGGGCGCTCGTATCATGATAAGAATGCGTAAATAACTGTATGTTCGGTTGTGATGTGAATGATAAATTGAAGTATTTGTTTGTTCTCAGTTACAAACGTCCAAAGAGAAACTAGAATGTCGTCGCCTCGAGCAGCTGTCTGACACTGAAGACAGACAGATGCTGATCAACGAGAACAGGAAACTGGCGAAGGACCTCGACGCAGTTAATAGCAAAGTCTATATTTTTTTACTAACATTTGTAGATAAGTGTAGTTGTCCCTTACTAATCAAGTAAATGCTATCTAATCTCTTAAATTTTACTTTAAATAAAATATGAATAATGTAATTTTATAAAATTTATATGAAACGTAATTCCATACATTACAGTCTGCCCTTTCAGTAATATGCCAATAAAAAAAGAGATATAAAACTTATGGTTGAGTCATTTCATTAATTTTGTCCATCTTGTCAACAGTTAGCCGAAAACGGTAGGAGATGGCAGGCTGAAAGGCGGCAAATGGAGATTGAATTGGAAGAGCTTAGGGCTAAGAGAGACACCATGCAGCATTGGGAGACACAGGTGAGTGACGACAATATTTCTAGGGGCTCGAAGGACCAATAAAGAGATTCAACATTTTCATTGTATTATTAAGTTTTCGAGTCTTAGGTTGATCTAATCTAACTACGTAATGTTCCTTAGATTGCGGATATCATTCGATGGGTGACTGACGAAAAAGAGGCTCGTGGCTATTTACAGGCGTTGGCCACGAAGATGACCGAGGAGCTGGAGTATCTCAAACACGGTGAGTGGTTATTAATGTAAACAAGATTAACTTCAATTCTTTTCCTTTATATGTTAGTAGACCAAAACCTCTTTTCTAAGGAGAGGTTTATGTCCAGCAGTGGACTGTCAAAGGCTGTTGATGATATATACATTACAAGGAAGGGAGACAACTATGCTATGAATATGTGGATGGGTAAGATTAAACTAAATCTGATTGATTGATTTGATTTCAACGTATTAAAATGTCAAGGCAATGTTCAGTTCAAAGAGATTTTTCTTATAGTATATAAAACTCAGGTGAAGTAGCAGGTCTAAAAATAAACCCTGGTTGTCAGCAAGCGCATCCCGGTCGTCGCTGGTGGCGTCATCCCCTCCGTCGGGCGGGCCGGGCGGGCCGGCGGGCGCGGCGGGCCTGTCGGTGCCGGACGGGCGCGGCGGGCCGCCGGGCGCGCCGGGCGGCTGGCGCAACCGCCGCTCGCAGAAGCTCGACAAGATGGAGATCCTCACGCTGCAGTCCTCGCTGCACTCCGAGATACAGGCCAAGCAGGCGGTCGGGGAGGAACTCAGTCGGACGCGCGCCGAACTCTTGGCTAGTCAAAGGTAAAACGCTTTTTCTTATAACTGTTACCGTTCTTACACAAACATACAAGCGAATCATATAAAACGTGAACATAATAAGTTTATATTACTATGTAGTAGTTACATATTTTATAATGCTTAAACATACGTATAGTATTTAATGTGCACTCCTCTCTGAAAGACTCCTATGAATATATCGATAGTCTTCACTCACGGTTCCATAAATTCATAGTTCTATATTCATTTTACCTATAAAAACAATGAATTTAATCTTCTCCCTAGTTATGGTCCACCGTGGTTGAGGGGTACCAAGTAAGCTTTCTGTATTTTGCCCAACTTATAGCTACCCTTTAAAAATATAACAGTAAGTTACTACAATCTTGATGGGCATGATTCTAGTGTTTACATATTACATAAATAGTTGACACGAGGTATGGGCATGAAGAATTTTAGTTACAAAAGTTTTCCCAGCTGTAGATCATAGTGAAGTCATATTTAGTTTTAAATTTTCTATCCTGAATGCACAAGTGTTTTGAGTCGTTTAATTTTCACGTTTCATCAGATTTAATCACATTTAAATATACTTGTTAATTATCAGAGAATTGCCTGAGTTTTACTTTGCTGTTTGGATTATTCGTTTTGGACTGATTTCGTCATATGTTTGTGTAACCAATGTTTGCTAATGTTGTCGAAAACGTAAGATGTTTTATACCCAAGGCCACCGTGATGACTAGAACATACGTCATTTTCATCTGTGTTGTGAAGTTCACTCACGTTTTGTTAGTGTGTTCCTGATTGAATTTTTTTTTTCCATTTTAATATTCAGTGTTACTAGTTTGGATTAATTATTAAAAAAAAATAGTTAGAATTTTTTTCAATATTTTCCTAATGATTATTTGTAGCTACAGTTGTGAAATACACATGATGCTAACGGATCGTAAAAGGGTACCATACTATTATTATCCTTTTTACACGTACATTCATAGACAATTGTGTGATTTTTTTTTGCTTGCAATACTTTTGTTTAATAATAAAATACAACGATTTTTAAAACAAAAATATTTCATTATCTTATGGATAAGGCGATATTATGTATACAGTTTCGTATTAAAATTTCTAGATCCTTCCCTCTCAATTGGTACAGTTTAGTTTTTAAAAAATCGACTTCTGTACTTACTTATTAGCTAGAAGTTGGGGCTTGATCGCCATCCTGCCTTGATGATCCGCATATGACCAAGATGATTTATGCCTGTTCTATAATTGCACAGAGAGTTGCTGGAAACCCGACAGCGCTTGGATTCCCTGGCGCACGACATGAAGCGCAAAGAACAACACATACGCGACATGCAAGCGAGACTCGATGCGCCTCACCAACCTGGCAACTCCTGTGAGTATTTCCTCTTTATTTTTATATGTAATGGGTCAATATTTTTAAAGCTACAATTAGTTACTTTAAATTTTTGCACATGTACTTATATTTCAGGTATAGAATGTCTTGTTTGGTGTATATTTTTGTCTAGAGTCTAGAGTAAACACTTTAGATTCAACGCAATCAAAGATTCTCATACCTCGATGAGCCAAAGTCTACAAAGCACCCATTTCCAGCACAAAAATAATTTTGATCGCAATATGTTTAACATATAAAAAAAATATATAAAAAGAGGTTAAATGCCTCTTTTATGACATCGATTAATAATAATTCACATAGTTAAATGATTTTTTCGGTATCCGCGTTTGCAAACATTTTGATTGACATTTCTAGTCACAGTACAGAATGAAAAAGTTATGAGTTATGTAATCCGAATTATGAAGTCTCTTAGAGCCCTAGTTGGGTTGTGAAATAAATAAATCGGTACATAAGCAGTGGGCATAGTTTCTAAGCGCTGATTACTAAACAATAAAAATAAGATATTTGTCATGTGGAGTATACCATGGGGGCTCGAATAAGTCAAACTTACATACTATATTTTCATGTTATATTTGGATAAATAAATTAACTTTTAAGCACTAACTGCGTGTGTTGGGTACTTTTTAAGAGCTGAATATATAAGAGTAACAGTTTTTTTTAACGAAAGAAATAAGGAACTTAAATATCTGATGCGATTATTTTTTGTTAATAACTACATGTACGGTATAAGTTATTTTAAACTATTATGCTCTCAATTTTTTTTTATTATATTCCCAAAACATATATTAGTATATATATATAACAGGGTATATATTAAATACTCCTTTCGCCCCCCTTAAATAGTATGCCACAAAAATATAAATTATAAGTACTTTTTTTTTTGTATTTTCTGACAAAATCCTATTTTTGTAGTACAAATGTTATGTTAAAAATATATATATTTTGAGGGTTTCATGTCGTACTTTCAGCACAGTATATGTGTAAATATAATAATATGTTTATTTAGTGCACCATTTCTTTTTGTTTTCGTTACATGTTACCGCACATTCCTACCCAATACACATGCGAAACTTTTATTGTGACGGCACAAACACGTCGATAACCGCACTTTTACCATCCAATGGAATCTTGGGCTCCCACCACAAAGTCCAACGTCGTCCGCGACGAAAAAAACGGAAATAAATGAACTGCACAACACTATTTATTAAAAAAATAAACCTGTGACTTATGGACTCTATGTGTTTAAAATTGGAACTGTGATTTGATATTCCATATAAAATTGTTGATACGTTTTCAAAATTCTTTTTTAAAATAACTTTTTTGTTCATAATGTCTATGGTAACGATAATGTATTATCAATGGCATTTATTTTTTATTTTAATTGCGTTTAACGCATTTTTTTTGTTTTTAAATTGTGTATTTTGTGTATAACTTGTGCATTTCTTGTGCTGTTGGTATTTTTTGAATGCTAGTTCGAGCATGGTTGAGACGGAACATACCTCTGTTCATTGGTGTGACGTCATGTATATGGGGTGTAGCCATACTTATGTATCATCAAATCTATATCTGATAAATAAGCTAGATGGTCCCTTCAAAAAATATTTTAAAAGTTATTGTTATAACCTGCAAATACTTAATGTATATAAAGGTAAAAATATTTATATGCACTATGACATACCATATATAAAGTAAAAAAATGACAAAATTATTAGTAGAAGATTAGTGCTCAAAGTTACGATTATTTTTTAATAATTTTATTTAAAATATTTTTTCACGAAATGAAGTTGCCACTTTAATTATTTATTATAATCTATAATATCACCAAAGTATAATCATTTCTAGTCTTCGAAATTTAGTCTAGTCGAAATACGATGATTGCCAAAGATTTTTTTTACGTTGAATCTCAACCGATCGAACTAGTCATTACTATCGAATCGGGTATATGTGTATATTTATGTGTGTGTTATGTTATGAAAGTACTAGGACAAATACCGTCTGACTTATTGAAAACTTTATTTAAGAACACCAGACTATGGCCAGACCAATAGGTAGCTCTTTGGTGCTAAGGTATATGAGGATTATGAAGCTAAAACGTGTATTCGGTTTCTGACACATCATCTTTATTATTGTTATTTTTCGCTGCGGATTTGGACATTATTAAATTTTAAGCTATTTTGTAAAGTCAGTCAAATAATAAAGCGGCATTTTTGAATAATAACGTTTACCAGTTTGTAATCAAAATAAAACCGCCAAACGGCAAAGTCGGGTAAGACAGATTCTGTCCACGTATTTTCATTACCAATAAAACTAATTTTTTTTTAGAATACGTACCTATTTTTTTTTTATTTATTAAGGAAATGATAAATCATGACATTACTCGATCGAAAGCCAAAAAAATATTGACAGCACAATGGTATTTTTTTATTTATTATTTAGTATTAGTTTTGTTTTAGAATCTCATATTGTTTTTTACTGTGTTAAGTTTTAAGACCACATATTGTTGTGACTCGAATAACAGAAAACTCGCAAACAGTAGCTTTAATAGTTATAAAAATAAATAATATTTCTGTTAAGTAACTACAGAAATAAACTCACAGTACAGTCAGTACAAAAACTGCATTAGATTTTGCGTAAACAATAAGCACATCCACAAAAAGTGATTTAACTCTTGATTTAACTTCTACACCGTTTATTCGTGTATTCTCCCAGTTCATCTGAGGTCAGAGATCTAGTTGCTTTTTTTGGACACCCCAGGATTAGTTACTTTACTTTTGGCTACCAAAAAAATAAAATATGTTAAACAGATTAATGACCAAGGGTAGAAGTTCGCGCTTAAAGAATATAATCCGAAACTAATTTAAACGATTGTTTATTTAATTATTTGATTTACTAGCAGTTATTACAAACGTTTTAAGGAGTCACAACTTATATATACGTGAGACAACATCGGAAATGTCATTGTAGACGGTTAAAACTTTCCTTTAATTTGCAACAATGTGTTGTCTTAAAATTAATCTGATTTGTAGACGTTTTCTTTGCATAGTTTTGTTTTGAAGTTATTTGTCAGCACATTTATATTGCATTTACCGTCTTTTAGTTTAAATATTATTTTTATTTATTTATAATCTGTGCACAACTGTACTCGTCAATGCAACCTCTGTACAGTATTTGTACATAAGTTATTAAAAGTTCTGTTGTATTCATAGTTTTTTTTATTTGTTTTTTGTTGTTCTATCTCTACCTAGATCTAAAACCATTTGGTAATGAAAATTTTCATATGCTATAAGACGAAAGGTAGTAAGTGCAAAAATATATTTTATGAATATTTACAATTGAAATTAAAATTCTCTCTCAAGCACATCGTTATTCAGAAAACTCTCTCTATATCTGTATCAAATGATAATATATGGGTATTTTTCTAAATTTACCACAGTCTACTTTCCAAATGAATTCACTTTTTTGTAATGTGAGCATGGTCAGTAAACTTACCGATTTGACTGGATCTGATCTGATCAAAAATTGAATCATATTTTCAAACCAATAAAACACAAAGTTATGCGCAAGCAGCGAGGCAAGGATCAGCGAAATCTTCTACTTACTGGAGCGGAAAAGAAGAGAATGGTTCGTTTATTTAGCTATTAAATCCCTTAGAAGTAGAACGTCGTATGTGACTGTGTGTTATTTTGTCCCTATAACAGTACCTGTTGTTATAAGAATTTAATTATTTATAGTTAACTTATTCATTTTATGAAAAAAAAGTATGCAAACGATAATTTAGTTATTAGAGCTATTAAGAGACAAATTAAGACAAATTATTTAAGCAAATAATTTATTAACTAAATTAAAATAAAGTAGTAAGCGTTCATTAGATTTTTATTTAAAAACTAATTTTAAGTAACTTAAATACAGTTTTTGCTTTAGACATTTTTTTTTCAAAAGTAGATTTAATGTCTTTATTTTATTTCATATTGGGTTTATTTAGTAAGATCTTATCCTAATATCAATTTATATTTATGAACAGACAATACGAGTATATTCATAGTGTTTTGTAGGCTATGTTAATGATTTTATAACAACAGACACTGTTTATATAAAGGTGTAAGTTTTTATATTAGTCTTTGTGCTGCGTACGTAGTTTTCTATTTAGTTTCATTTTATCTAAGTTCTTTTGTAAATACGAGCAAGTGTCAAGGGAAACTCATTTCTAAGACGTCATACAAAATGTCACTGTTTTGCAGTCCCTTTGGAGTTAATTCTAACGAAACTACAGTACAATATTTTTTTAATTATTTTAAATAGAAAAATCGATTAATCGAAAGTGTTACAACACTACGTACTGAAGAATCCTGACAAGACCATTTTGCTGATAAATTTGGCTTCGATTACATCATTCGTTCATGAATATCATAGACATATATTTATATTATGCGAAATATTTTATATAACGAAAAATTAAATTACTCCAAAACAGTGACATTGGCTTTAAAATGTCAAACGTTATTTCTTTTTTTTCATTCAAATCGCTTCGCTTTTGCTTGAGCTTGTTTGGCGTGGATGTGACAATCATTTGAAAAAAGAATATAATTTTGAACCGAGGCTTCTAACAATACCTGGTTAAAAATAGTCCATTCATCACCACATAACGCGCTAAGCGATTGTTTTTTTTTTCCTTTAACACTTGTTTGTATACGCATAGGTTATTGACTAATCTGTTTTCTTTAATGTAAAACCTCTTTTGTAACGACTTTTTTTGTAATTACTTCACTACACAAGTCTATATTCGAATTTTAAATTATTTTCTTTAAAAAAGTCATAAAGGAGGACTTGTAATTATTTGTATGGTGTGTTTACTATGCAGAATGTTTGAAGTGGTATTGGTAATATTATAAGAGATATGGTGCCTTTTAAATATTTTGTCACTTAGTTTTTAACAGGCTTGTGTGCTGAGGGCCATAGTTTGTATAGAGTCTATTGTAAACGTCCTGTGCATGTCATAGTCCCGGTATTGTACTGACTAAAATGTGTCTATGTACAGTCGAGCACAAACACTTTTCAACTTCAGAATATTTTAAACATTATTGATAGTGTGTGAATGTTCTGACATTTAATATTGATAAAAAACTTTAAACATAATCTAATCGTTTAATTTTCTTAATATATTTTCTTTTCGGTATACCTTAACAGTAAAATTGACAATTAGAAAGTCAAACCACAGAACCTATTTTAGTGGATGCTTCTTTAACATTTCAGTAGTATATATATAGTATCATTACAAAGCTTTGTGCTCCACTATACGTATATATTCTAATATTGTAACGTTTTTAATTTAATGTTTTGTGAACGTGGTTTGGGTTGGGATTTGGTTTATGTTTTTTATTTCACTTTATTATCCTTTTTAAGTATTATAATACAACATTATTACCTTATATTTTTATTCTAGAGTACTGTTCCCGTATTCGAATGTTATGTATTAGAATTATTAGTAAGTTACATAACCCTTTTTTAGTATATTAAAGTTGTCTACACATATTCATCAAACTAAAGTAACTTATAACAAAAACAAAATACCTACTTCTAAATAAGAAAAAAAAAACAAAAAAAGAATAGAACATATAAAAAATTTAATTCTACAAAGTAACATTTGTTATTGGAACAGAACACTAGATTACTAGACATTTGTGAAGACGACTGTAACAATATATTTTTTTAAATTTCAGTCCTGGACCGACCGCCATCGCAGATGAGCTACTTAGACCAATTCCTGAAGGAAGCTCCGACGGAGCGACACTACGATAACGTCGCTTCTATAAATGAACAGAAGGTACATTTTCAAAAACAAACAATTTTATACATATTACATTACGCTTTTGTGATTTGTTCATTTAATTTAATTTTTAGAAACGTGTTCTATTAGAATTGTCGCATCTTTAAGTTACTTTTTAAATATAATAAAATATAACTGTAGCCCTCTTTCTAATAAGGTGCGTTTTCTCGCGTGCTACTGTTCTGCTAAAAGAATAAAATGGTTATGTTGAATTATCAGTGTGGTGACGGATTAAGAACACGGAGTGTTACCACCCCTATTCATCCCGTGGGTGTTGTAAGAGCCGACTAAGGTTGCAAGCTATGCAGTACAATAGCACTGAGAAGGGAAACTTGAAAACCCCCTTTATCAACCTGCCTGGCCAGCGTGGTATAGTAGCGCTGTGCGACCACATCGTCCCGTGACACATAGATGTAACTCTGCTAATGTATACCACGTCTAGGTTTCAACCGACGCAGGGTTGACCAGAGATTACAAAGGCCGATATCACACCTCTCGCGACCCCTAAATGTTCCCTGTAAGTTCTGTTTCTTACACCTTACCAAAGAATGTGGAACACATATTCGGAAGGTGGTGGAAGCTATTTATCAAACTGTAACAAATTCTGATCTTGATCTCCAATCTAACGCCGGTTTTAGGAACTTGTGTGATAAAAAAACCTCTCTTCTCGATATAAAGCGATATGGTGAGTAGTAGACACGGTCCTACCATGCCTAATACCTAATTGCTCTACCATGGAGGAAACAGTATTTTAAACTTCAAATCGTAAATACGTTTGATTTCTAAATTCGTTTAGTTTAAAAATAATAGAACACGTTTCAATGCTCATTTATTTACTTATCATTTGTAACTAATTTATAAGGTGATAGTTTTGTTAATAACAATCATACACTGTATCATCCGAGTCGAAATAAAATAGACAAAAAATAGTCTGTAAAATATTGCTATAGGGCCGGATGTATGCAGAAATGTAGCCGAAGTTGTGCTACTCAGTTCAGAGCCGATGCTATGAGAGCTGGCTAAGTTCTAATCAACTAGAGACTGGATTTCGTTTATAGAAGAACTTACTTTGATTAAAGAACCCGTAAGCTTACCCTGGACGATGTGCTCGCGAATATGGAATAAAAACTCTTGATCGTCGCTTTTTTTTTTTTCATGATGCACTCTTTTGTGAGTGTGCCGAAGCTCTCTTAAACCTAGTCTAGTCTGACCACTAGACTCAGATAGAGGTTGCGTCTTTTCAATGGAGAAATACAGAAAAATCGAACAGTTAATAGCTGTATTGGCCGAGCCGCTAAAGTCACAAAAAAGATATAATTCAGGTGTTTACCTTCTTCGTCTTTATCACAACTTTCCTACTAAAATCCTTTCGAAGTTTTCTTTTTGAGAAATATGTAACTTTTCTACTTGGACTAGTAATTTTCTCACCTTAACAAGACTTTGTCTTGAATTCTTATATCTTTTGTGGGTGACTATTATTCCAACCTCTCTTCTTTTGACTAACTGAGTAGTTAAAAACTCTAAAGCTTTTTAATCAATATTTTATCCATAACCGACTGCATTTCGGTATACACAAAGCCCAATATGGCAATCAATATAATTATAAAAGTAGTTATAAACCAAAGGAAGACAGTGTATTTGATATATTTCAAGCTTAAATAATTTTACGTTGCCACGCTTTGTTTGTGTTGCCCGCACAGATGTCGCCGCGGTACCGATACAGAAACCAACATTGTTGTAATGCAAAGGTATTATATGTTTTATTTTTTTGTATGTAGTGTTTGACTATGGTTTGCACTGTAGATAGTTTTTTTTTAAAGTATAGTTTATGAATGTGAAATGAGGGTAGTTCTACCCTTTGAATATTTAATAACATAAAATGTTTTATTTAATATTTTATTATTAAATAACTCATACTTTTAGTCATAATTGTTTGTAAACATGGTCTGAAAAGACGGCAGTCACTTACCGATGAATAAATGCAGTCTATTGTTATAATTTGCTGCTGGTAGAGATAAAATATGTAATGTTATAATGGTATTAATTCTGTTGTTCGAAAACTCTCTAAACTAAACTAAAAATCACTAAAAATATCTTTAGTTCTGTCAAACAACGTTTTCTACTCTGAAAACGTAGTATTTGACAGGACTAAAGATATTTTTAGTGATTTTTGTGATTTTTTCGAACAACAGTATTAGCACCAGTATCTTGTTTAACATAAAATATAACTAACATTCTGCACGAGTCACCATTCACTGCTAACAAAACTAACCTAAAATTAACACAGAGTATACAGCTTTTTTACTTCTACTACAATACTTCATATATTTTCAAGTTGTGATTAAGCTTGACTACTTACATACCATTTCCTTTGTATTTAAGAAATTCTTTTTAATAGTACAATATCATACAGAGAAGGTAAGTTTGCCGCTGAAAAATTTGGGGAAATCCGGATTATTTTTCACTGTTCATGAAAAAAGAGTGTCTTGTGATTATTAGAAGCTACAGTGTTTATAACTAAAATGTGGTGCCAATTAACCGCATTCATCCATCCATTACGCAATACACGCTCATGGGTAGAATTATTATACACTACGCTAAAAGTACCATCTTTCATGATTACTATTGTCTTCACTGCATCAGAAAGGTTCAGGTTACAAAAGTCTAATTCTCAAATGTCTTAACTCCCAAAATATCCAATGCCCAAACACTTGAACACATATACTTCCTTCTGTATACATAATAAAATATATTAAATCAAATATCATTTTAGAGGATATGTCGCAATATTTTAAGCTGCAATACTTTTACCGTATTTTACACCTCATACACGTCTGATCCCAATTTAGATAAATGGATGGTTATATGGAGATAAAGAACAAATCGTGTTCATCACACAATTATTTGTCTTCGTTTGGAATCGAATTCACGACCTCTGGCTCAGCAGTCGAGATCATTATCCAATAGATCAATCAACGCTTTCGTCTTCTTTGGTACCTGGATTCTCTTGAACACATTCTATGCATTGTAAATGCTACGTACATTATTTCTGACTAAGTTTTGTGAAACAGACAAATTTTCTGTTTAGCTCATGTACGGCTCCCAACAATCGGCCGCGTTAAGTGGTTCAGTGGAATTACAAGACGAATTGGAGCCGAGACCAGCTTCGCCTGCGTCCAGCAAAAGTTCACCCAGCGAGATGTCTACTGTGAGTACACGCAGTTAAAGTGTGATTTTTTATATCTTGATACGTGTTGCTGTAATTAGAAGGTTTTCGTGTTATGACTGGACTATAATACTGCTAAATTTAAAACAGTGTTTCCAAAGAAATTAAATGAAAGAATCAATACATTTTTTAAATAAGCCCCTTTTTAGAAATACTAGTATGTAGAGAAAATTCTATGATGTACCCCTCCCGCTTTCCCTTTCAAACCATGAAGTCTTTGAATTGTAGTTTTTTAGATATTAATTTTTAAAAAAAGTTAATGTTTAACAAGTTTTGATTTAACTATTGATAATTTCGAATTACTTAACAATTATTATTGGTCGTTGCATAATGTGTGTGAAATATGAATCAAGGGTGTGTGTGGGTGTGCACTGCATGCAGAATTCCTTTATGTCACTAAACTATAAATTAAGGTAAGATTATATGAAATTTAATTTTTAAATGTATGTGTTATTTTGTTTGTAGGACCCGTCCTTAGGCCCCACGGTGCCGGGCAAACCAAAGGTGCACCAGTTCTTAGTAAGGACTTTCAGTAGTCCCACTAAGTGTAACCATTGTACTTCCCTTATGGTAAGTTGTGGTTAGTGTATTATGTCTATGATTTTTTTCCCTATGATATGTATAAAAAAGACCAAATAGAAAAATTATGGTCGTGTTTAGCCATTATATTACAACTAGCTACGTTTCGCGGTGTTTCTCGCGGTTTATCAAATGTATTTTAATTATTTGCTCATCCCATGGAAAAATATTTTTTCGTGGGTGTCAGCTACCTCCATATGAAATTTTATTAAAATTGGTCCAGCGGTTTGAGCGTGAAGAAGAACAAAATATACACTCATTTTCGCCTTTATAACATTAGTGTGAAAACATAAATAAGCAAAGATAGAATAAAGATTTTGCAATTAAATAATGAGTGGTCATAAATAATAATAATATTCTACCACATTCATACGCGTTGTATCATCTAGTCCCAAACTAAGCAGAGGTACCCATAGTACATATGGGTACTGAGAACTGATAAATATAAATTGCTTTTTTTTGTAAATACATACATATTATACATAGAAACACCCAGACCGAATCAAACATTAAATGTTCAAGCACACAAATGTTTGACTCGAACGCGACCTTTAAATAAATAAAAATAATAACAGGCCATTAAAAGGATAGATGTAAGTATAAGGATGGTGGTGCGCAGATCGGGCTGACGCGGCAGGGCGTGGTGTGCGAGACGTGCGGGCTGGCCGTGCACACGTGGTGCTGCGCGCGCGTGGCGCCGCGCTGTCCGCTGCCCGCCGAGCGCACGCGCCGCCCGCTCGGCATCGACCCCGCGCGCGGGCAGGGCACGGCCTACGAGGGCTACGTCAAGGTACGTCTCGGGTACCAGTAGCCGAGGAACCAGGTGTACCCTAGAAAAGAAATCCCTGGTACCCCGATGTACCTCGGGCCGTCTACGGTCTGTAGATGACCTCCTGTGTGGGAATTCTCATGTTCTCCCACACTCTCCCATATACACTAACAGCGCTATTCGTAAAGGAACTATTTTTATTTCTCGAAATTTCAAAGTACACTTTTGTTGATATGTCTATAACACTAATTTGATTTCTTAAATATTTGATTAATTACCATAATATAGATATTCATCTGTTCAGGTACCTAAACCAGGCGGTGTGAAAAAAGGCTGGATGAGACAATTCGTCGTGGTGTGTGACTTCAAATTGTTTCTATACGACATATCTCAGGATAGGTATGTGCTATAAGCTACCTCAAGATATAAACCATTTTGCTCTAAATATAACTTACGAATAAAATTCTATAAAAAATTAACAGTTACTAATGACTGATGAATAACTAAATACGAGTATGTTTTTAATACTCAGTTTACACATTTCCAAATATTTGGAACCACTAAAAACGGGATCTATATCTTTATGTCTACTAATGCCATTGTTGTTTACAGGAACGCATTACCGTCTGTTTGTGTCAGTCAAGTGTTAGACATGCGGGATTCAGATTTTAGCGTGACCTCCGTGAAAGACTCCGACGTCATACACGCGAGCAAACGTGACATACCTTGTATATTTAGGGTGAGTATCGTGCAATAATTAATAAAAAAAAATATAATATTCTACCACATACACACAACGCCATCTAGTCCCAAACTAAGTAGAGCTTGTACTATGGGTACTAGACAACTGATATAAATACATATATACTTTTTTTTTGTAAATACATACATATTATACATAGAAACACCCAGACCAAATCAAACATCAAATGTTCATGCACACAAATGTTTGACTTGAGCGGGAATGAACCTGCGACCTTTGGAATAGCAGTCCGTTACACAAACCACTACGCCATCCGGTCGACATTGAACTATAATTTGGAGGGTAGTTCTTATTACTATCACGATTGGTAAAAATTGGCATGTATTTAATATTAAAATTGTGATTTTGTTTTTACAGATATCAACTTCACAATTAGAAGGTGGCAAAAGATCTCACACGCTTATGTTAGCTGAATCTGAATCGGAGAAGACTAAATGGGTGGTCGCGTTAAGTGAACTACACAGGATACTCAAGCGAAATAATCTGCCGGACAAATGTGTAAGTAATAAATATTGTGTTCTTTTATATTTTCGAACTAATAGGGTTTAATGTTAGGTACTCAAAGGTGATCTATCCAAATTATATAAAGGAATGAGTTATATATAAAAATAGGTATTTAATGAATACCTATAACGCTACTATTCGGCTCGAAGGACTAGACTGTCGGATCATCATATTATTGAACGAAAACCCGTCACAAAATGTCTCGACAGTGTGTGTGTGTGAGCGGACGATTGTGACTCACTCACACAGTGTGCGAGTGATTGTCATGTGAATACACTTGCGGTAATGTCGTCGGGCGGTGTGCAGGTGTACAGCGCGTGCGTGCTGATGGACGCGACGGCGGCGGGCGCGGTGCGCAACGCGCTGTGCGCGGTGGTGCTGGAGCGCGCGCGCGTGTGCGTGGGCGGCGACGCGGGGCTGGCGCTCGTGGACCTGGAGCGCGCCGAGCTCACGCCGCGCCGCGCGCACGCGCCCGTCGCCACCATCGCCTACGTGCCCAGCGAGCAGCTGCTGGGTGAGCGCCCCTCCATATCTATATACTTATACGTCGAGTTGCTCTCTATCAACCGAATTGTTTAAAACTTGATAATAAACAAATTGCGGTTTTTTATTGGGAAGAAAAGTTAAATAATAAAATGTATATTGCTTATACAGATGTATGTATAGTTGTTGTCGGGAAACCCGACCTCTCTAACGCACAGGTTTTGTCATTACGTATGAGAAACGACGAGGAGTGACGTCACACGCTAGAATAGAAAATGAAGCAAAGAAGTGTGCATCGACAGCAGTATATGGAGTTCGGTTTCGGTGAATGCCAACGGATTTTCCACGACGCTGTATGTTCGGGTCCGTTGGCATTCACCGGTACCGCGCTTCGTATGTCATCGGTGAAGATCGACTGACTTCGGAACTGTTGTATAATTTACATCGACTTAAGTTTTACTAGTATTTAGTGATATTGTGTGAAATTATAATTACTTATATGTATTTTTTGCAATCTCTTTAATAATGTTCCAAAATTGTTATATTTATTATTTTATCAAGTTATTACATAATCCACCAATACAAAAAGATTTTTAAATATAATTTAAATAGTGATGGACGTTAGTTTAAAAGCATTAAGAGAAAAATAAATAATTAAAATTTTCAAATTCAAAGAATAACATATATATATATATATATTAAAAATATATACATATATATATTTAAATTTATGTGATTTTTTTAATATAACATCTGTTCTATTTATTTATTATTGTGCCTTCTTGTCAGTCGGTTAAGTAGTAATCGTGTGTGAGAGTGAGTAGTGAGAGTAATCGTGTGCGTGTCGCAGTGGTGATAGCGGGGCGCGGGCGGCACGTGCGGCTCGTGCCCATCCGCGCGCTGGAGTGCGCCGACGTGGAGTGCGTGAAGCTGGCCGAGACCAAGGGCGCGCTCGCGCTCGCCGCCGGCCCGCTCTCGCACAACGCGCACGGGTTCGCCGTGCTCTGCAAGAGACAGGTACACGCACCGCCCGTGGCGATCTCGACTTTCGTAACGTCTCATATCTCGACGGACGTTCATCGGGAGTATACGCGTTTCAGAACGCGTACGTGGTGAACGTGTACGAGATCACCCGCACGGCGGCGCGGCGCGTGCGCGTGGCGGAGCTGCGCGCGTGCGGCGCCGTGTGCTCGGTGCAGCTGAGCGCGGCGCGGCTGGTGCTGGGCTACCGCGGGGGCTTCGCCGCGCACGCGCTGCCCGACCCGCGCCGCCCGCACCACGACCAGCCCGCCGTCTGTGCGTGCACCTTTAATATCTTTTTATGGTTCAATCTTTTCTTAATTCTTTTTTTTTTAAATTATATTATTTCCTTTCAGCATTGGTGCATCCGGAGAACCAAGTGAACGTATTTCTATCCCACTCTGGAGCCCGTCCGTTGGGCTGTGCGCCGGTGCCGAACGGCGGCGACACGCTGCTGGTGTTCAACTCGCTCGCGCTCTACGTGGACAGAAACGGACACCGAGCGAGGGACACGGAACTCATGTACACCGCCCATCCCTTACATCATGGTAAGCAGGCCGTCAATAGTTGCCATATACGATAAGGTCATTTACTATGGCAACTTACCTAACCCTAAAGAAATTAAATATAAAAATACTATAAAAAGTAAAATATTTTTATTTCTAAGACAAAGTAAAAGACGCGAAAATGAGCATTGAACAAAAAATTGTTAAACATCATTCGGTGAGCTAGGTTAGCCTTTTATAATAAAGCCTCAACTCGTACTATAAAAATACAATTAATAAATTAAACGTGACATAAATCCGACATTATATACGAGATAATTAACAAAAGACGATGGTATTGTTTCTAAGTAGCAAAAACATCTCTGAACAAAGAAACATGAATTTTATTTTGATTGTTACAGCAATCAACGAGACGCATTTGTTAATATTCACGGCGACACACATCGACGTGTACGACATAGAGACTGGCGACTGGGTACAAACTATGAATATACGTGAGTATGCACCACGCGTTGTTCAATTATTGTACAATTCGTTTTGTATAAATATTGATAGAACGCACTTATTTATACAAACAAATATTTGTATTTTACAAAAAAAAATCTTTCAAAGTTAATTTATTTGACAAGTAAAAAAGTACTTTTTAAATGTGTTTATCTTTAGCGTTTACAATAAACAATAATTTGTTCATGTAATATATTGTTTAAATAAAACTAGTAAACGATTTGTGAGTCACAATCGAAGCACAAAGTATATGAGCGTGTGGTGGTCCCTCAGCGAACGCGCGGCCGCTGGACGAGTGCGGGTGGGTGTGCTACGTGGGCGGCGGCGGCGGCAACGGCTTCCCCTTCTCCAGCGACGCCGCGCCCTACCTCGTCTACCTGCGTCCGCTGCTCTCGCGTAACTACCCACCACACTCTCTCTACTCACTCTACTCACTCTACTCACTCCATTCACTTCACTACATACTATACCTAAACTGTCTTTTCTCATTCCACTATAGATTAGAACATGCTTTATTGTACACCAATTACAGTATTTTGGTTAAATATTACAGACGGATTTATATACTGAGCGTCCTCTTTCCTAATAGCAGTCTCTTACGGGCAACCTTTGGTTAGACAAATCGACAGTAGATGCTTTTTACTAAATTTTTAATCACTAATTTAGTTCTAAATAGGACTACTTCATATAAAAATTCGGCTAAATGTAATGTCGTTCCTGTATATATGAGTGACGATATCGATGGCCCCCATAGATCCCCGCGCTCAAGACCCTCCCCTGCTGCTGGATCCATCGCTGTGGAGCAGCAAGCGTCGCTTCTCGCTACGCGAGCAGTCGCACCAGGCCATCGACGCGCACAACAGGCTGTGAGTACGCAAGGATACCAACTAATATACAACTAATACACACAAACTTTAGTAACTTTTAAGAAAGAATCTAAACAAAATGGGGTAGTTGAAGATTAATTATTCAAACAGAAAACGTTAGCCACGCGTCGTACGTCGAGTTCTTTATACAAATGCACTAAGTTGGTTGTTCACTTGAACGTATATGACTCACTTTCGTTTAAAAGACTTACGTTTACGTCTAATCATTTCCAGGAAGTTTATCATTTATATAAAACTAAGACAACTTCATCATTTATATAAAGACGTCAACGTGTGGTGACGGATTAAGCATACAGAATGTCGCCACCCTTATTCATCCTGTGGGTCACGAAAGAGCCGATTAAGGGAGTAAATTACGATAGACAACAGCATTGCCAAGAGAAGGAAAACTTGAAACAAACCCTATACCAACACGTCTGGCCAGCGTGGTATAATAGGCCAAAACCTCCTTTCTAAGGAGAGGCCTATGTCCAGCAGTGGACTAGTAAAGGCTGTTGATGATGATGATGATGAAGACAAATAAGATCCGTTCATATTTCCAATTTGCCGAACCAACACTAACTACTCTTACTAAAATTTTGTGACGATCACGCTAGCGATATGTGACGTCATTAGCTGTTATTTCATATAAGTTTATGAGTATTTTTGAAAAAAAAATAACTAGTCTAACTATAATAACTATAATTTTAGTCTATATATTACTAATATGTAGTAGATAAGTTCCAAAATACAATTATATTTATAACAATAATGTTTGTTCTGTAAGCAGTTCAGAGCGTCGTTCCCATTTGATATCGGCGCCAACGAATTTCGCCCACCTGTCGCACATGGGCCCCGGCGACGGCATCCGCTCGCAGCGCCTCCTCGACCTGCCCACCACCGTCGAGACGGCCGACGACCTGGCGCAGGTACGGGTACCTCGTCACATCGCTCCTCTCACATCGCTACATTCAAACTATATTGCAAGCATCCAACCATATAATCAAGAAGCAAGAAAAGTCCGTGTAGTGACGGATTAAGAATACGGAAGGTCACTACCCCGATTCATCCCGTGGTTGTCGTAAGAGCCGACTAAGGGTGCAAAGCAACGCTGGACACCAGCACTGCATAAAGAAGGAAAACTTGACACAAACCCTATACCAACCCGTCTGGTCAGTGTGGTTTAGTAGACCAAAACCTCCTTTCTAGGGAGAGGCCTATGTCCAGCAGTGGACTATTAAAGACTGTTGATGTGATGTAATGAAGAAAAGAATTCGATTTGATCGAATCATCTAATTATACAATAAAGAGAATTCCACGTAACATATAATGTGATGAATGATCCTATATATTCCTCTTGTTATGATGAATCGTCTCTCTTAAGAAATAACATTTAGCACAATCGCTCTCGTATCATATATATTCCGCAGACTTATGTTTATTAACGAAGTTTATATTAACATATGTACACATGTAGCTGCTTGAGAAATCCCATAAATAATATTATTATATTGATGTTATTTATTAAGATTTGTTATTATTTTCATTATTGCCTCATTTTTCAAATAATTAAATAATAATTCACCGAAATGGTGTATTTTCAGATGTACAGCAGTCGAGAGAGCAGTAAACGAACGTCACCGTTGACGATATCACACGGAACAGGATCCTATAACGGTATGCTTCAACATGTTTGTACAATCAATTGTCATTGCTTTAATCTTAAACGGCTGCACCGACTTTGATGAACTTTCGTTTTTGTTTGTTGTTGTGTTTAAGTGGTTTAGATTAAAAAGAGAAGTTTGTAATTTTCGGATTTAAGACTTGTGTACAGGACAACGTCCGTCGGGACAGCTTGTCTTTCTTATAAATAAATAGTATAAATACCTTCCTATATTTTAACTTTTAATTTGTTAAACACTGTTTTGTTTGTGTAGGTTCATGGCGTAGCGGAGGTCGAACGCGTGAACCAACTGATGCACCGCCCTCACCTCCGTTGTCACACCATAGGCCGATGGATAGGTAATTTATACAAAAAAAACTTAAAATTAAATAATTTTAATTTAAAAGATATGGTACACCAATCAATTTGTTGACAACTGGCAAATATTATAATATTGATAATTACGACAAAAAGTATTTAGAATCTTTGAAGGAAACGGTGAGGTGGATCTCTGACGTGACACTGAGAGATCGAATGTGTCCTTATCGGGTCTTTCATCAGCGAAGTTAGTTAGTAAATAAGAAAGACTTAGACGTGTAGTGTATATTGCAGTGTCAAATGTTTAACTTAACAAAAATGTTCCACAGATCAATAGGCGGCGGGTCTCAAGGCAGCGGGTCGCTGCTTCTGGAACGTTCCATCACTCCGCTCAGCCTCGGCAGTATGAGCTCCTTACACGATGTACTTAAGGTGAGATTGTTGAAATAATTGCTATAGCTGCCTATTGCGTTATCGCGTATTATGTGATAAGTATCTGAGGGCCAAGTGCGAGTTTATTTCACTTTTACTCCCTCGTCACGGTGACCGCGTTCGGCGCTACAATTGGCCCGCACTAAAATTTCCACCAATCGCAACCCTAAACGCGCTCGCCATCGACACCGAGTCCATGTGAAATAAACTTGCACTCGGCCCTCAGATCTATAAGTACTCACCGGCCGGCGTGTAGCAGCAAATCGAAGCCACGGTGTACATTTACCTTCATACTTAAAGTACTGAGTGGGCCGGGTGCAATAGTAGAGAATTAACGTGTACGTGGTGTGTTCGGCAGGTCGGCACGGACATGGGCGACGGGCTGCACTCCGAGGACAGCAGCTGCGGACCCTCGCCGCCGCACCCCGCTGATCCCTGATGGTACGTACTAACGACGCGACGTACCGACCACTTTATACAAACTCATTGTCCAATGTTAAAAACGTATACCTACTAAAACCCTTAAAAAAGTTAAAATCAATCTGTGGAACGAGTTATCGTCTGCGTTATTTCCGGACCATTACGACCTTCAAACCTTCAAGAAAAGAGCGTACTCCTGCCTGAAAGGCCGGCGACGCGTTTGTGATTCCTGAGTTTCAGACGTTCATGGGCGGCAATAGTCAGTTTCCATCAGGTGACCTGTCTGCTTGTCTGCCCCCTCTAACGTAAAAAACAAAAACCGGTCAATTTTGGTATTTTTCAAATTTATTTTTTACTTAGACATTATTAAAAATGAGTAATTAAACTGCGTATGTATAAAACGAAAAATCATTTTCATACACATAGAAATAGTTCTTAAGATGCATCACATAGAGTCCAAAATAGCTTTAGAAATATTATTATAACAGATCACTCTTTTTTTCAGAAACCGTGACACAAACTGGACAATTGACATGTCCCGTTTCTACGCTTGCTTTTGTTAATATCGTTTGCCGAACATAGCCGAGTGTTGCCGAACGCGGTGCAGACTGTTACATGCCGTGTGTCGTTTTAACAGAGTTCTTTATCGTGTAGCAAGTGAACGCTTTAAATATATTTATTGATGTGTATTATATGTATGAGAGGCGCGTTTTTTAAGAAGAGAAGAAGAATATAAAAGAGTATTTCTTTCACTTTGAGGACCGATTATTATAGACTCGTATTCTGTTCTTAGTTTGTGTATAATGCAATGATAAAAACTTTAATTATTAGTTTAGCAATAATTTATTTCAATTTGCCACTTCGGTGTCGTAATAGACTAGTCAGGCATTAAACAATACGTAAGCAAAAACAGTATTAATAAAAATTTAACTCGGGATTATTTTTACTCTAAAATTTGTCAGCATGCAATAAGTGATGATTAAAACAATACGAATAAAGAAATATACCTCTCATACATAACGATACAAGCGAAGTTGAATAAATAAATGAATTATCAATATATTTGGTTCCTAAATGAATTATATGGAAGATTTATTTTGCATTGTTATTAAATTATTTACGAGAATAAATTAAATTGTAATATTTTTCTCCACGATATCAATACCTTCCATTGTAAGATAATAACAAATTTAAATAGGTATTGTTAAGCTGGATGCACATTGACGTGATGAAAAAAAAAACATTTACGCTGCTTATTAAAAAAAGTTATTTTTAACATTCAAATATATATAATGCCAAAATTTTGTATCAAGTAAGTTATATTAAATTCATTTTATATTATTAATTTCATTGTACTCTGTATAGTATTATACTAATTTATTATTAACGACGAAAAGGAATAATCTACCCTTTGAAATCATTATTTTAATAAGATCGTCACTGTGCATCTATAGGAATATAGACCCAATGTGGCTTGTAGGTCAATTAGATTTATCTTCGTCACTCAAACGTATTTTAAACGTATATAAGACTTCGGCTTTGTAATGGGTGTTTAACAGGTTCAATTCTTTCCCTTACATATAACACAGTGTTCTCCACAGGTTAAAACACCTAGTCATTTTATACTTTCTTATTTCTTTAATTATGTTTAATTCGCAATTTCAATCTGTGCGAGGTTAAAAATTTCAAAAACTACTCCAAAAAAAGAAAACTTATACTTAAATACTAATAAAAACTTTCTTGTATGATATATATTTATTAATACGGCTATTAACACGATCAATAAGTATGTGTCGAGACGTGGTCAACTCATGACCATGACCAAGCTGATCCTAATACCTATTGATTGTATATCGGTTCTGTAATTGTCGTATTAACGAGTGCTAAAAATATCGTAGTAGTTAATATTGAGGCTAGATAAATACGACCAGAGGGCTCTAGACGGCGAGTTCGTTTGGATTTGCGATGGGTGCAGATATCAGTGTGGGCCAAACGCAAGCCGAACGACCGTGACGATTGAGTTGAAGTGTTATAAACTTACAGTAACTCTGAAATCTATACTGGTTGAGAACGAGTTGATATAAAATGAACTTTGGTGGTATTGTTTAGAACAGTTTTTGCTAAAAGCTTTATGCACTCTCTGAGGCTCAATAAGAAATTAGTTAGCTGATATTTATTTTAAAACAAGCTAATCATTCACCAAAAATCCCGACTGCGTGAAAATGTATACGTAAAATGTTTATAATTTTCGTATACCCAGTGTCACTCTCACAATTAAAAGACTAATCGAAGGACTCCTCAAACGTCAAAATCCACCTAGCCGTTTAGACTACAGAGCGTGCCAAAGAAATACATATGTACACTAAAATATAACCCTCCTTCGGGCGCAGTCGGTAAAATCGTTATACTTTAAACAAACACCCACTACTAAGCACCAAAATATTGACACATATATATAAATAGATGTAGTATTTTTACTAACACAATTGAATTTAATTGCTTTAGTATTTTTTTTAATACTCTCCGTCATTGAAGACGTATTAGAACCGCCGATGTTTTATGTTATAATATTTTTTTGATACATTGTGATGTTTTCAAAATAATTGTGACGTAAAAATAAAGATAAATGCTTTCAAAATATGAATATTGTTTAAGAATGATTAAATTCAGTATTTCTAAAAACCAAGTTAATGAGGCGTATAAAATGTAGCGTAATTTTAATTAAAGAGTATTAATATTCAACTTTATGGCATGCTCTGACCATAGGTTTAGGTATTTTGTTTCTTAATACACTCCTAAAGTAATTTAAAGAAATTTTTAAAACAATATTCACTATTAGAATAATCTAAATAACACTGCCACTGCTAGGACTGTAGGTAGTCGAAAAATCTACAGTCTATCTATAGACACTCCTTAGATTTTCGTATAAATGAATTATACCCTGTTATTTGTATGTTCGACACTTCGACAATTCGGACGAACAACTTAAAGTATGTATACCTACGCAGTATAACTACAAATCAACTGTTAAATTTGATATATGTTGGTATAAAAGTATGTATACTATATACATAAGTTTTGTGTATTAATAAGTCATAATGTGATTAATTTTTTTTAACGAAGATATTAAGTATATTACCAAACTAATCGTCACATTTAATGTTTAAGTTTTAATTTATGACCATTCGAAAATTTCGCTTTATTTTCAACGCATTGTGTGTAAATTGATGTTTATTTTAATATATGTCGATAAATAAATTTATATATTAGATTTTTTTATAATAAATTGCCACGTTGGGTATTTACAAAAGTGTTTTAGGAAAATGACTTAGTAAAATAGACAAAATAAATGTCATAATTAATGAAGTAATAATTTTAATTTATTTATCGACATATGTATATATATTGTATTAACCCTGTATGTAAACAAATCTTATAGTTATTTTGTGATTATTCACCTATCGGTAAGCAATATTTTTTGTAATAATTGTTAATTTTTTTTAACAATCTAGTCTTTTTTTTGTTTATATTCGACTGTAATGAATCGTGACCACGTCGTCTTCAAATATATTTTAGGTATTTTTAGTTCGATTTAGACAAATGAGATTTTTTATATGTAAGATGTTTTAGTCTCTCTGTCTGCCGTTCTCTGAAGTCAGGTTTGGTTCGATTTATTTATTGTAAGGATGTATTCGGTATTGCCTCACTATTTATTTAGATAATCGTATAGTTAAATGAATAATTATAAAAACATACTTAAAGCTTTTGTGTGTACAAAAAATATTCTTTGAAATAATTTTATCGATATTAAAAATGTATTCTCGCCAAACCAAACTTGTGGTGTCCTTTATGCCTGATGTACACATAGTTTATATTATTTTGTATTCATCCATGATATATAAGTTATCCAAAGATCTTTGTATCGAAAGTATTTAAATTTAATTATTGCTTGTACGCTTCTTAAATGCGCAGTTCAATAGACAACATTCCTATAGTTCGAAGGAGGTGGCAAACGCTTAGGTATATAATAGTTCTTACTTTGAACTATAAGAGTTTTGTTAATTTGTTTAATGAAATTAAAAAAAACCGCTTCATTGGCTTCCTCGAATCATTAAACATGTTGTATAAAATTACTGCGCATTTATTTGAGACTAAAAGCTATCTAATATTAAACAAGTGTTATTCAAAATTGTAACAATTGATCAATTACCGTAATCAAAGACTACTAGAGTCTATTGTCTGTGAAATAAAGCAATGTTTTGGTGTTTTGTCTTTGAATACGACAATTGATTTTTTAATTAGTGTTATAATATTTTGATACATGGAGTGTTGTCCAAAATATCGAAATATATCGATAATAAATTTTAGTTTTAATTGTCTAGTTTTAAAAACTGATGTGCACGAGAAAGAACTGATTGTGTATTGCTTTTTATATACTTATATATAATACTAACCAATTACGAACAAATTTAATGTAAAGTCAGCCTTTTGTAACAATGAAAGTATTAAAACAACCGAAAAGAGATTCCAATTTATATTTGAATTCCACCATTGTATTTAATTACCTGTATTTAGTTTAATTATATGATTGTCTTGTCGAAGAAAACGTGACAACAATCGGGCGGTCCAAATACAACAACATTCCGTTGTCCTAATAAGCCAATCGCTTATCGATAGTTTCGTTAAATTGTTAGCTGCAAACATTACTATCGATATGCGAAGTCGTACATCACTTCACACCATCTTATTGTCAATTGATATTATTACATTTATAAAATATTTCGTATAACGATTGGCGAATGTGTAACCTAATAATTTCAAAATTTGTTGAAAAAAATATGCTCTAGAATAAGATAATTATAAAAAAAATGTATTTAAAAAGTTCCCAAAACCAACACTCGACGGGTTTAAATATGTAGATTTTGCTAAATTGATATTTAAAATGCATTTTATATTATAAAAAACATGCTTACGAGGACGTATTAATTTTTCACGTTGACAATACGCGCTATATTAGGC